AGTTTAAAGCAATTTAGAAGCCTACTAGTGCCTCAATCAGTGTAGTAAAATACATTCTAAATGCTTATAAATTTTGGTATTTGATTTTGGCTGTTTTATCATGGAAAATCAGAGCCCCTCCAGCCCTCGTAGCTCATCATGACACAAGTCCAGGACCCTTGTTCCCAAGCCACAGCTCCCAAAACCCTGCTGGTGTCCCTTGCCTCCGACCCACAGCTCCCTGGCCCCCCCAGCCCTGCCAGAGTGGGCCCCCAACTGCCAGGGCTACAGGGCCAGGGACCCAGGTGCCTGAGCCCTGCCTGCTGCCCACAGGAGGTGGCAGCTGTTGTGGCTCAAGTGGGGAGCCCAGCTCCCCCACCCCCACAGGCAACATGGCTGGAGCACAACCTGGGAGGAGGGCAAGGGGTGGGGGCTGCCTGCTGTGGGCTTGGGCAGGGGAGGCCAGCTCCCTGTTGCCGTGCGCACTCTCAGGGGAGCAGGGAGGCATGTGCCCTGATGCACCTCCTGCCTACCCTGGAGCAGTGGGGGTGGTGGCATAGGGTTATAGTGACTGCACCTAGCTTTCCCACACAGCCCTGCTCTGCTTTGCTGTGCCCACCAGGCTGCAGAGGCCCTGGAGGGAGGGCAGCAGAGTGGGGAACCCCACGCCCACAGCGGGCAGCCTGCCCTGTGCACAGATCTGGAGGGCACATGCCCCCCTGGGACCATGCGCAGTGGTGGGGAGCCAGCTCCCCCCAATTCAGATGAGTCACCTGCAGCTATGTCACTCTCCCTGCCTGGGCCCTGGGGCTGCATATTCCAGCCGCAAGCCGCACTCACCGTCCGGCTGGGCAGCAGCCCCAGTGCTGCTCAACTCGCTTTCTGTCCTCCCCTCTCCCCGGCTAGATTTACCTGGGGGAGCTGCTTTCCAGGCTGCCTAGTGGCCATGTGCATGTGTGTGGCATCCCATACCTGACTGCCTTCCTCCCCCCCCCCCCCCAGCCCCTTGCAGGCTGGAACTCTGCCAGCCTGCAAACAGCTCTTTGCAAAAGAGCAAAAGCTGTGTGTTTCTCTGTTAAAATGAAAAATCCGCATTTTTCTCAGTTAAACAGGAAAGTCCACCATTTTTTTCTGTTTTTCTATGGGAAATGGAAAACTCGGATCCCTGACTCTGTGACTTCTCCAAGAAAAAAAATCAAAAAACATAGCCACTGAGAGCAGCTTCATCTCTTCCCCACTAGGTGTCACAAGCAAGCCAAGTAATATACTGTGATCAGTGATATGAAAGGGAGCTGGTAGGTTGAATAGGATCCACATCACCATCAGATCTCCATCTGTTGACAAAAAGGGATCACCGACTGGTGCAACTACTTGCAGTTGCTATGGCAAACCCAGATCTCCTGTTGGTGTGACAAGGATCACAGATAGCTGAGCCACTGAGAGACAGTGAGTTACTCATCCAAAACTTCTCAACAATATGCCCTAAAATGGAAGATCTTATTGAAACTGTCAACCTTGAGTGATTGCTCAGCTGTTTGCTGAGCACAGACTGTAGAAATACCACTAATGCTGGCAGTCTCTTCCACAAATGAGCCCTGTATGTCTATGCTGACCTTCACCATCCATATAAGATGCAGATTCCAACTGCAGGCTGGAGCCTGAATTTCTCCTTAGCAGGATGAAGTTCAGCAACACAAGACTGTGTTTACCCTCCTAACAACATGGCTCAGCTGTAAGGGGTACAGGCAGCTTCCTTTGAGTGAGATGGATTCAGAGATCCAATGACAGGTTCACCTGTTACTGTTGAAGGTGTACAAGGTAGTGAAGTACAAGTTTGTACTGAAGTCATTTTCTCCAGAGATGGAATTTAGGATTTTTTTTTGTACATAGACTTTCTTTTGCAGCTATTGGTCCTGTTGGTGCTTCAGTGGCATTATCTAGTGGAGAATTCTACACTCCTCTCATTGCACAATATAAGCTGTGAGGTATTTTTCAAGTAGCCCACCAAGATTTAGCCATTGGATTTTCCATTAAAATAATGTGAGTTGCAGAACAAAACCTACAGATACCAACAAAAGCAGTTTTCTATAGTATTGCTGGGGAATAAGATTTCTGCTCTGAGAAGAACTGGAAGTGGTAGGCGGGGCTTGATTTTTTTTTTTTTTTTCTCTACTTGCAAATGTTGCAAAATAGGAGAGCCATTTCTTTTATAAAATATATAAATGCCTTATCTAGTAAGGTTGGTGATGAATTGCATGCATCTTCAATTCAGCAGAGCACTGCATAGTCTGTGGCTAGACATAGTAGTAAGACTGTTAGCTTTGAAGGGAAGGTGGCCCTGCAAGTACAGATGGCTGAGCAGGTTATGTCATGTTTGGTAAGGTGAAAATATAACCATCTCCTTTCATTATCTTCTTACAGCATTTGTCATATTCTTCATCAGTAGAGGGTTAGATTCTTAGAAGTAACTAGTGACCACAGCTCCAACTTTAGTCAATGGATGCCTCGAGTGCTTAGTGTCTCCAAAAATCAGGTTCTATGTAATTATCCCTCGTCTTCCCCCTTATATGCGCTCCAAGCCCTCTGAAAAGAAATACTAGCTATTTGACAGACCCAAACATGTATGAGAGAGTTGCGAATGGATAAGGAAACAGGTATTCCATGTCAGATTTTCAAAGGATCATCAACAACAGTGATGGAATGGGGCCTTTTCCGAAGGCTTGGAAGTGCCCTTGAAAATCCACTTTAATGTTTTTGTGTTAAAATAATTTTAATGGTTAGAAATTTCTGCTTCCCTTGGACTGCTCTGTGCAGCTTTAAGTATGCAAAGATCATGGGAAGAGCTTAAAATTGTCTTACACATACAGATGCACACTTGTATATTATATCTATGACCAAAGGAGCTGTAGTGTTTGATTTCTTTTAAGTTTTCTTTCTCAACTTTGATTTGAAAGAGCATATTGTAGAAATGTAAGAAAAAACCAAAGTGCAATTCAGATATTGGTCAGAGGATGGCCTCATTGGGTAGTGCTGTGCTTCCATCTGCTGTGCCTGCCACAACACCAGCCAGTTTACTTTATTCTTGGAACAAATGGGATTGGGCCCTATATATACTGAACTGCACAGAATCTTATTATTTGTGACAGACACTATTATCAATGCAATACATACCCTCTCTTAACCTGCCTAGGGATAGCTGCCAAGTCCTATTGAAACAGTGTAACAGTGGTGCTTCCTCTCTGATGTCCAAGAACACCTCCCTTTTTTGAAATTAGTAGGAAACAAAGAATGGTGTCTGGGCTGTATCATCTCTGCAGATTTTCAACTAAATTGCAGCTGTCATGGATGGCTTTTGTTGCAGTGCTTTTCCTCAGATGAATTTAGCTGCAAAGTGTGTGTGTGTGTGTGTGTGTGTGTGTGTGTGTGTGTGTGTGTGTGTGTGGATTCCAAACCCAAAAGCATGGAAAATGTGAACTGTTCGCTTCTTGATGCACATATGAAACCAGCTGAAATACAATATATTAACAAGCACTGTTCAGGTTAATGCCATCTCCTTATATAGAGGCAATATTAAAAACAAAATGAAACCAAACCCACTACCAACATCTGGGATAGCAAGATAACCCTTCCTGTTGTTTCTGTGTCTAAAGATTCCCATAAGGAAAGACTCATCATTAGACTGTGGAATTTGTATATAGGAGAGAGGAATCATTTGTAGCATGCTACATTAGGAACAAAACTAGGAGGCAGACAAAATTACTTCACTGTGTTACACAATTCAGTTTTATTTAAAATGCATGCTGTACTTGGAAAACAAATAATTTGCCTTTTTTTATCATGATTTCTGTGTTATTCTCTGACAATATATAATATTCCAAGTCTTGCCTGATTGTCAGCAGACAATATGATTCATGGGGAGGGTCACCATATGACCCAGTTTGGCTGAGACAGTTCTGGATTTTGTAGGCTGTCCCAGCATCCCAGTAGGTTGGTGACAATTAAAAGTCCCAGAATTGCAGGGGCATGCGGCACAGTCTGGAGGGGAGACAGAGCATCATGGTGTGCTAGGCAGGTGGTTGGATGGATGCTACTGATACTGAGTGGGAACAAAGCAGGTGGACTGCATTGGTACCCAGCCCAGCCCATTCCACTGCCCACTTCCAGCCGCTGTTCAGGAGGAGCCAGGCCAGGTATATGTGGGCAGTGCCTGCCTACTACCTTGCCCCCCTACGTGGTGTACCGTGTTGCTCTGCCTCCCCACCAGGCTGAGCCCCAGCCTACCTGCCTCTGCATCTGTCTCCAGCAATGTCACTGATTTGAGGAGGGGGGCAGTGTCCCAGATTTCCTTAAACATATTATGGTCAACCTATTCATGAGTTTCTTGCTATTAAGCAAGATGGGTTTTTTCTCCTTTTTTTCTATAGTTGATTGGAATCTATCAAAATTATGCAAGTAAACACAAAAATAACTGTTTTAAGTATACCTGTCTCTGTTCAGCAAGGTGGGTAAACCTGAGCATAAATTTAAACACCATAGTCCTATTGAAGTCACTGGGATTACTCATGTCCTGACTAAGGGCTGTCTCTATTCTCTGAAAAGTTCTCTCAACAGATTACTTTAACTTCAAAAAAACAAAACAAAACAAAACAAAAAAAACTTCTTACCCTTCTGTGTTTCTAGGGTATAAGGTATTGGTGTGTTGTCATTTTCTGTAGGCTACATGTGCATAATCTTGACCTCCCCTTTAGAGAACAGACAGCTCTTCACATTATGATTACTCCTGCACAAGTGATGTGCTGCTGTCTATGGAAAACACTGCAGTTCCACTGACAACTACCAGTTGTTAAGCACCATTTTATATTTGCCCTCGTTTTGCGCTCTCAGACAAACACACAGGACTAGTCACAAGGATGAGGGAACAAAGCCAAAAAGACTCCTAGCTTAAAATTTCTATAATATATACATACTTCCTAAATACCAATTGCAAATATGTTATTTTAACTCTATTCTCTCTTGTTTAGGATTTACAAATTGAACGAGAGAGGACTATATATAATATATCTGGAGGCTGCACAGCCCTTGTGGTGGTGTATCTGTTGGGGAAGCTGTATGTGGCAAATGCTGGTGATAGCAGGTAAGCAAAGCAGGTTTCTAAAGTATTTTTAATAACTTATTTTGCAGCAACAAGCAGTGAGTGAAAAGTGCAGTGGGACCTCATCTTCAGTAGGGTACAGAAGTGCTCTTGCAATACAAATAGCAATAAAATGCTTTCCTGTCTCATTTTATTGGTCACAAAAATAATTAATAGAAGCTAAAAGTAACATGCATCTTCTGTGTTCCAATTTAAATGATGTGCTATTTTAAAAATGACTTTTTCATCTGTTCTTTATTAGCAGTTTCTAAATGACCCAACTGATATTGTGCAGTGTGAAATAAAAATATTATTTATTGTGTGCAATCATTTGTCTAATCACTCTTTGAAATTGTTTGTAGTTTTCTGAAAAAGTTGTTGGAACTAGAATTTTGTCGTGGCTCCTGCTGTCATTGTCCCAGTCTAGCCTTGGATTGATTTAGCTAATTCTTGATGGGTTCAGAACCAAATCAGTTTAGTTAGGATTTTATAACTGGCCATATGAATAGTTTAGAATAAAATAAAACAAACAAATCATGTTGCAGGGATTGCCTACTCCTTGAGTTGAACCTCACTGGAATTGTCTTGAGTTATTCAGCTAACTTTTATATTTGTATTAAAAGTTTCAAGAGGAGCTGTTTTTCTGGCATTCTAAGTCAGCCAAAACCAAGAATATATTCAGAATCTATCTTACTTCTCTCTGTGGCCCCTAGAGAGAGAGAGAGATGGATTGCTCTTGTAAGATTTCCAGTCTTTTTGCAGTTGTTGCAGCAGCCCTGTCAAATGAAAAAGGAATAAACTGAGAAGAGGAAGGAGGCGGAATAAGTTGTTTCAGTAGTATGGATTTTTGCATCTTATTAGTTAGCAGCTAGGCTTCTAAAGCTTGAAAAGGGGTAGGCAAGCCATTAAAAGAACAAATATGTGTATGTACCTTTTGTGTATTTTTTACAAAAGTTGTATACTGCATGTATATATGCATTTAATCAGTGAAAGCAAGCATCTGTACTGCTGCCTAGATACAATAGCTTAAGGGGCAGCAGACCCACAAACCTCATAGCTGGCAAAAGGAATCTCTTGTGCAAACTATCCTAGTTCTCCATATATCAGCATTATGACTCTTCTTAACTATGCCCAATTCAGCATATTATTATTATTATTATTGGGTTTTACAAACAAAATATTGAATACTGCTCATTAACTTTATTTTGACAATAGACAGTACAATATAAATCTCTAATCCCTTTTCACTTACAATGTCAGTTATAGGTGAGTATATACAAATAAGCGATATATTCAAACATATTTACAGATACCACAGGTAAATAATCTGTGAAAATACTGTCCCTATTGCTTTTTGCCTTGTATTCAAACAGTTGTGACTGACATGTGCTATTTATATAAATAATAAGAAATTAAGCCTCTTTCACTGAGCAGAGTAGATTGGAGATTTTTGTCATCTGAACAAATCCTTCAGCATCACCTGTACTTCCCAGTACTGTCCTTACACAATGCAATCTCAAGACTTGAAGGAACGGGATGTTCTTAACATGGTAACTCTAACTTGCATACTAACTTCCCTTCTAGTTTTCTTTTTTTCTGGCATTTAAAAACATCTAGGCAAATTTTAAAGGCAGAAAGTAGACACCCTAATAAAGCTGCTCTCTTGAATTCATCTCCTAACTCAACCACTTGTAGTTCTACTTACCTCTGCATGAATGAAAAATGTGCTAAAAACTATCAGTCTTGGTACTTCATACATGATATTATTGAATAGGACATCATTCGTTATTCTGTCTCCACAGATCATGCCAGAAAAGGGTACTTTGATGTCCTGAAATTCTAGATGACTAGCCCTTAAGGTGTTTGAAATGCTTTTTTTGTTCTTTGGTGATACGATTTTTGTATCAATGTGCTGCTTAGATATGAGACCCCATATACTGTAACACAAATGCTGTGTGGCATTCTCATCGAGATCTATGTGAGAATGGATCTTCTCCACTCCCGTCTCCATCCCTGACTGGAAACCTTCCTTCTGTAGGATGTACTGTGGGTGCCTGAATCTGAATAGAGATCTGATATAGAATATGATCTGGGTGTGAGTTACACACTGCCTTGTGAAGTTATGTCCAAGTAAATATTCTCAGATCCAGCAGGGAACAATTGGAGATACTAAGATTCAAGCCTCTGGAGCTTTTGGGCCTTTGAAGCCTTCATTTGCAAATTGAGTACTTAGATGGGGATTCTAAAGGTCCCAAATACCCTTTTGAATCTTTCTAAAAAGCAGTCAGAAAAGGAGGAAATGGAAGCAGCATAAGGATTAGCAAATTCAGCCCTGGTGTATTTGAATTGTTGTTGCTTCTGATCATACCCTACTATGCGCTGTCTTCTTGGAGCCCAAGGTTTCTGACTGATAAGACCTCTTCAGATCCATGGCAGCTGAACTATCACAACTGACTCCTCAAGCTAACTAGTATTATGAGAGAAAATATTGTCCAACTGCCTGGTATCTGGTTCTGACTCTAGTAAATAAAGATCTGCAGATTTCTGCTAGAAAATGACTTCCCTGCTTTAAAATTTCCAGATTGATTTGAAGACATACAAAAACCTAGAACTCTTGGTTCCAAAATGATACTTTTTATTAGAGCAACTGGGGAATTGCAAGAAAACTGTCCTTTTCTGCAAGCTTTTGGGATCGAAGTCCTTTTGTCGGGCTCTGGGAAAAGTATAGATGGTACAAGATGGTAAAAATTCTCCATAGGTAGGAAATAAACTTCATTTTTGCACAGAGGGAGCTGAAGATGGAAGGCTGTTCCTCTGGGTCCCTCTCATTGACCCAGAGGGACAGCCTTCTAACTTCAGCACCAAATGCTTTCTCCCTACACTTTTGCAAGATCAGGTTCTTGCCAGTTGCTCCAAGAGCAGCAATACCTTGGAGCCTGACTGCTGTTGCCAGGGCCTTTGGGGGTCTTTACACAAGCTCTGGGAGTGGAGGATGGCACTTTTTCAGCTCTGTGAGCCACTCTAATTAAAGCGCCCCCAGTGTTTTGTGTATTCAGTGTCTTCCACTTCAAAATGGCAGCGGGGGCACTTTAACTAAAGCTCTTTCAACAAGCTTTAGTTCAAGCTCCCCTGCCACCATTTTGAAGCACCAGGATGCTGAATACACACGAATCTCCCTAGATTAATCGAGTCTGCTCTGATGCACTATGATTACAGCATATTGGAGCAGCATCCCCACACATCTACAGGCCTTTGTCTCTAGCCATATGTTCTTAAAAGCTTTTATCTCATAGCTACACAGTTTATCTCATGGTGAACAAAGATAAACTGATTCCCTGCTTCCTTGTGTCTTAGGTGATCATTCTGAAACCGTGCAAAATAAATTCAGAATGTTATCAAATTAAGTGTACTACAGTGACCTACTTTGTAACTCTTTTTACACAGGTATTAATGTTTTATAATGAAAAAAGGCGCAATACCAGTAAACAAAAAGAGGGAAACCCAGCAGGGTGAGAGATGTTTCTTTCATAGGTATTAACTTTGTTGTAGAATTCATACAGCCATAGAAAATTAAGGTTGGAGGGACCTCAGGAGGTCCGCCCTCCTCCCTCACTCAAAGCAGGACCATCCCCAACTAGATCATACCAGGCCAGGCTTTGCCTAGCCAAGTTTTAAAAACCTCAAAGGATAGAAATTCCACAACCTCTCTGAGTAACCTGTTCCAGTGCTATACTATACTCCTAGTGAGAGAGGGTTTTTCCCAATATCTAACCTAAACTTCCCTTGCTGCAACTTGAGATAATTGCTCCTTGTTCTGTCATCTGCCACCACGGAGAACAGTCTAGCTCCATCCTCTTTGTAAGTACCCTTCACTTCACAAAAGAAAAGAATTACTTTGACCATCAGAAACAACTGCAAAACTAGTTTCTTCAGCCTTGCTTCCCCTCAGCTCTTCTCCCTATCCCTCCCACAAGCACTTATTGTGCTAGTTCTCTCTCACACTGTAAAAATCTACAAATAAATCAAGCTATTTTCCCAGAGGCCAGAATACATGGAAGGAGGTTATATGCTACAGCTATAGTGATGGGAACCACGTAAGTACAGAGGAAGCAGTAGTTTGTACTTACTCAGTTGTCCAAAAAAGCTTAGACCTTAAATTGCTGCAATTTCAAAACAGCAGAGGTTTACAAAGGTGGGTTTTAAAAGGCTTTCTGGTATCATAAAAAGGTATATACAGGAAACTGTTACTATCACAGTGAGAACAAGGACACACTAAGTGTGAGACTTGAATAATAATGGACTGTGCAGTGCTAACTACACCTCAGACTGTCTGTGGTATTCAGTTTAACCAGTAAAGCTTCTCAAATCTAATCATTTCATGCCACGTACACTGACAGTGTTGTATAGCAGCTGTCCCTTTGTAGTTGATATGTAATTACATCATGAAAAGACTTTAATTACCATATTACTAAATTGCCAGCAGGCAGTCCTTTTGGTTCAGCCCTAGCTTGCTTCTGTATGGACTGTTAGGTTTCAGCAAGCTGAACATTTTCAGCTGGGTGTAAAAGGGAGAAAAAATGTGCTTAATTCTAGGTTCCGTTATATTCTATTATTGACTGTGATGTTATAACATTAAGTGATACCATTAATCTCAATGATATAATTAAACTTCTGATAACTATGCATTCACAATTATGCAATAATTATACAGTAACAGTTCATGATACTAGCATCATCCTAAAAATGAAGCAGTGTCTTCACAGCCTGGTAAACAAATGAGAGCATTGCTTTTATTCTCTAATTGGCTGGCCTGGTCATTCTTGGTTTCCATTATAAATATATGTGGTTGCATAATCAAAATCTATATATGAACCTTGGATAAAGCTTTTTTAATGCTTGTCAGCTCTCAAAGCTAAACATCAGCCTATTTACTGTTGGATTACTTGGCACACAGTCCCCTCCCCAGAGGCAGGGAAAGGAAAAGAAAGGCTTCCAGTGTCTTC